AACCTCTTCTAACCGGTTCGGTAGATTTGACGAACCGGTTCTACCGAATAGGTGCGAACTGGTAGGAATTCACCTCTGCTTTGGTTCCATAATAATGGGATAAGGTTATTGCAGTTATGGATGTTTTTAAATCATGAACTGATCTTGTTCTATCTCCCACCCCCGCAGGACATGGATGCTGAAGTCTCCCAGTCTAGCATCTGGGGGACGGGGACGGGACGGGACTATACCCATTTGGGAATGAGGTCAAGTTTCTTGAGTAAGGATGTTGCTGAGCAGCAGGATGGCTAATATACTGCCAGCATACCTAGCTTATTCCTAACTCCCAGCTTCAAATAAAGGATATATTGTGACATTGATCAATATTGTTGCTCCTGATCTCTCTTGCAGGAAGCGATAATGAACTCTCAAGTGGTACTGGTGATGTATCCAAAGATTGCCCAGAGAAGATACTATATTCTTGGGGAGAATTGTTGGGACGATGGTAAGAGTTTACGAGGAAATTTTTTAAACTATCTTTTAAGAAACTTTCAGAACTGCAGAGCAGGGAAAAAATTAATAAGCTTTCTTTTAGAAGTATTTAACTCAAATATGCAGATTCTCAGTCCTAGCGCTGAAAGCTGTTTGTGGAACCCCTCCTATTTTCACCAAACGGCAATTTTAAAAATCAAAATGGAAAATTATCATATCAATAAAAGGTAATATTATTATTTAATTACTTAATGAAATAGTATGTAATTCTAACAGGGAAGTGGTGGCTCATTGGGTAAGACACTGAGCTTGTTGATCAGAAAGGTCGGCAGTTCGACGGTTGAAATCCCTAGCACTGCGTAACAGAGTAACGGAATGAGATCCTGTTACTTGTCCCAGCTTCTGCCAACCTAGCAGTTCGAAAGCACGTAAAAAAAATGCAAGTAGAAAAAATAGGAACCACCTTTGATGGGAAGGTAACAGCGTTCCGTGCACCTTTGGCATTTAGTCATTCCGGCCACATGATCACGGAGACGTCTTCGGACAGGGCTGGCTCTTTGGCTTTGAAACGGAGATGAGCACCACCCCCTAGACTCGGGAATGATTAGCACATATGTGCGAGGGAAACCTTTCCCTTTACTATGTAATTCTAATGAAATATAAATTAAATTACTTTGTTCTAGCCTTGCCTATTTGGGGGAGTATAATTTAGTTTTGTGTTATATTTACGGCATCATGCTATAAACTGGGATATCTGCCTTAGGCATGAAACAAACTGGGTGATCTTGGGCCAATCATTTTCTCTCAACCCCAGGAAGGAGAAAATGGCAAATCAAAAATTTTTTGCCAAGAAAACTGCAGGGAGTGAGAAATGGACACGGCTTAATGGAAGAAAAAATATCTAAAAAGATTTATACAATTGTCCGGAGTGCATGCTTTTAAATTTTTTTGTGTATTTTTAGTAGGCTCGATTTCATTGAAAAGGAAAACATTTGCTATTGATATAGTGGGAGCAGTCACTGGTCAAATCATTTTGTGTTAGTCACAGAGTTGCCTGTAACCAGTCTTCCCTTCAGTGGGTTTCCTTCAGGTGTCTAATGGACCCTGTTGAGTTTCAGAGAAAACATCTACTTTTCCTGCAGTTCTTAGGTACAATTCAACCAAGTCCTTGTCACATAGAATGAAGGGACAGTCAAGGCTTTGAATTGGATCCCAATTGGAGAACTTGCTTGTTTTCTGAGAAATTCGAGGAGATGAAACAACAGAAAAGATGTTTAAAATGGTGCTGGAGAAAGCAAATGTTGAATCTAATTGTGCATGAATAAGAGCCTTTCTTAGAGTGACCTTGTGGAAATAAAAGCAGCAAAATGTAATTGCTTTCCCACTGTCGTGGTGTCCACAGATAATTGTCCCATAGTCTTGCTTAGGGTAACTCCAGTCTTCAATTTTTAGGCTTGCAGCTCCAGAAGGACCTGGAGGAAATGGATCCCTTGGGTTTCAGGATGGGATATAGTATTGACATGGTATGGATTATACTTAAATGTGACCTAAGCAAGGTCAAAATGATGATAAAGCATCCATCCTAGTCCTCCATATTTTTTTAGCAGTCTCAATTTCACATATAGAAATATAAGACACAGAGAAAAGAGTTGAACTGGGGAAAAAAATCTTTTTATTTTATCTAGGCATAATAATCTGGAAATGCGACCAAAAGGTCTATCTTCATTGGTGAAAAGGGGTGTACCAGAAGCTTTGAGAGCTGAAGTATGGCAGTTACTAGCAGGATGTCATGATAACCAAGCGATGTTGGATAAATATAGAATTCTTATAACAAAGGTCAGTGTTTTGTTTTCTTGAATACATATGGCTAAATATTTTTAAGCAGTGGTTTTGTTTTTCAAATAAAATAGGTTAAAATTATGGTAGGCACACTTTGCTGTCTCATGTGACCTTTCAGTGAGAAATGGCACTTCTCTGAATGCATATTTGAAGTTGCATGATTATCTCTATACCAGTGGTAGTCAACCTGGTCCCTACCGCCCACTAGTGGGCGTTCCAGCTTTCGTGGTGGGCGGTAGG